TATATATATATATATACATTTACTTGAGAGCTCTATTTGCTGTAATTCCTTCTGCACACATGTAATAACCCATATATCAAAAAATAGTGGAAACTGTGCTTTTGAACAAAAACAAGCAAAGACAAGAAATGAACTGTACTGCTACATAAAATAATAATATCCCTGAAATCACTAAGGTGGGTAGTGTCTTCACTGTAACATATATAATTGGCATATCTAAAGACTAGTCAGAGCAAATGGCACGTTACCTCTGATATATCTTTATGAAGTAGTAGTCACAATGGAAGTTAAGCTATACTACCCATGTTGCCCGAATACATCTGCTGTTGCTGACATTTTTTTATGCTTTATGGAAGTGGAGCTGTCAGCTGTTTCAACACTATTGCTGGCTTTTATTGTGTATATTTCAATGAGTGTTCTGTTCATAATCATTTAATTTTACGTGGTGTTGTGTTCAATATTTCAATTACAGAGCTGCTTTCATTGTGATGAGAAAATGCCAGATTATTTATTGGACATTCATTCACAGAGCATAAAGAGGAAAACGTGCAGCTCAAATTTCGATTGTTTTTACAGTATCATACAAAAATGCCTAAATGACGATGTTATGTTTCCATAGTTTAGTTTTCCAAAGCAATTTTTAAAAAAAAGTATATAATAGTAAAAACAGAGCAAACCTTCCTCTGAATTGGCTTTTTTAAAAGCTTAATGTTAATGCACCTTAACAAACACAGACTGTTTAGTATATTCAACCACCAGTCTTTGTTTAGTGGGCAAGCAGAAGATCAATATGCAATTATAACAGAACTAGATCCCTAAAATAATAAAACAATTATAGGTATGATGTACACATATAACATTTAGATTTACATAGAAAATACAGTTACATATTTTGCCTTTAAAAATAAATATTTTAGTAAATGTATATACTGTATGCGTATGCAAATACATTTTGACCATATTTATGATATACAGGAGCAGCATAAATGAGGTTCATAGTTCAAATAAATTATCTTCTTACATGTTACTTTCTCAGTTAGAACATTTCTTGCCATGTCCTGACATTTGTTATCAACATTTTTTAATCCTCTTTGCCATATATCATTTGTGGCATGATTTTAGCTCTTGTATTAGTCAATTCCAGATGAGCTTCCCAGCACAATAATCAACTCACAATGAATATCTTTTCAACAAAAGTATTTACTAAATTTGTTCTATTTATGGCTAAACTGGACTTTGCAAAAATTACATCTGCTACATCTGCTGAAAATAATTTAAAATATAAACTCATTGGTAAGTAATTGTCTTTCTTCAAAAGCATTATAACATATAATTTGTGAAATACTTGATAACTGAATTCCTACTGAGTAACCAGAAACACATTACCTTCAACAGATGATACAATGGGTCCCCAGGGTAGTGTAAGCAATTCTAGGTACTATGGAGATTTACAGGCTAGCTTCCTTTTCTCCAGACATTACTTTACACTATTGAGAGGATTGTGGATAGGAAATGGTGGCTTAAGTAGCAGTGGGTAGGTATTAATGCATATTTTATATCTGAAGATGCTCAGATAGCATAATTTGACCTGGCCCCAGAGGTGGCTACGGCTCATGAAAGCCTGAAGACAGAGATCCTTCATTGGCTAGGTGAGACTACTGTAATACGGTGCACCACGTTCATGCAAGGGCCCATCATCCACAAAAGTCAACCTATGCCCCAATGGGTGAACTGGTCCATCTTCTAAAGAAATGGGTCCATTCCGAGCTGTTGACAGTGATCCAGGTCAGAGAATGCAAAACTATAATCTGTTCCCTATATTGCTGTCATAGAAATTACAGCAATGGGTTGGTTGCACTGATTTCAAAACCACAGAAGAGCAGTGACAGGTGTGGAAAGCTACTTCATTACTGAGGACCACCTATTCAGTATGTTGGAAACCACTGTCACCTGTGTCACCAAGAGCCAGCCAAATAACCTAAGGCAAGTGCTTCCCTAAGCCAGAAGTCACATGGTGCCAGATCTGGTGACCTAGGTGGATGAGGACACACATAATGTTTTTATTTGACAGAAATTACAGTACCAGAAGCGAAGTGTGACATGGAGCGTTGTCATAACAAATGATGAAACCGTTTGCCCATTTCTCAGACCATTTTCTATGCATATAATTTTTTTAATGCTCTAATAACCCCTTATTCTATTGAAAGTTCACACAGGGGTCTATCCACCAAGCTGCCGAGGGCAGCCGAGTGAATGACCGATCTGAAGTGAGCCGAACACTGTTCGGCTATTCACTTCAGGCTGGATCAGCTGATTTCAGCCGTACATCGGCTGAAATCAGCCGTACATCGGCTTGCTTCGAGTGGCTTTGGGTCGACCCGACCCAAAGTGCAGAAGGAGTTCGACTCAGCCGATCCAACATCTGGATCGGCTGAGCCGAACCTCCGGCAGGCTTCTCACTGCTGTTCGGGCTATTCTTAAAAATGCCGAACAGCAGTGAGTGAATAGCCGAATGCCGCAGAGCGGCATTCGGCTCGGCTGTTCTGCTCGGTCCCTCAGAGGGACCGAGCAGAACAGAAAAAGAGTGAATAAAGT